TTTGTCATGTATCGGGTGGTGGGGATTTAGGGCAGGTGGAGGGGAGAAGTAAGTCCTTAATTTGCTTCCCTTCACTCTCTCACTGGATTATATATATGTATATATCGTCGTCATCATCACCAAATGATTCATTTTATCAGATCATCATCATTAACAAATTATTCAATTTTTTTTATCTTTGTCCCTCTCAACTTATGATTTCTTTACCATGAGAACTAGTTTTGAGTTCCTTTAGCCACATAGGTTTTTCCCTTTTCTTAATGAAAATATACATTAATTTGTACCGCATATAAATCAATTATAATATAATATAAATAATTTTTAAATAAATACTTACTACATAATTTAAATTTATAATTTTTTATTAAAAAATGACGTAATAATAATTAAAATAAAAAATTGTAATAGCCACCTTTAAATTATTATATAAACGTACATATTCACATACATTTTGCTTAACTATTAGTTTGTTAATAAGTAAATATATTTTTTTAAAAAAAGTAGAAGAAAATTTCAGAAGATGCAATAATTTTATTGAAGACGATAAACTCGGATATAATACAAGAAATATAATAAGATTTTTTTTTAAAAAAAAAGTGTATATATATATATATAGATATAGATATATTACCAAGTGAGATAAAAAGGGGGAGAGAGAATTGTGAAGGGACTTCCACTCAAACGGGTCATACGTATAAAAGCCAGAATCTCTGCACTCCATGAATAAGACAAAGATTTTATCCTCCTATCCAATCAAATAATCGCAAATTATTTTTTTAATTTATTTAAAAATTCAATATATATTAACTAATTATTTATTAACTCAATTGTTAAATTTAAATCCAATTATATTTTTTTATATATATATTCTAATTAAAAAAATTATGTCAATAATAATTTATCAATTGAATTACTAATATATTCATTTATTTATAAGAAGTCTTTGATTTAAATAAACTGTATTTTCGTGTGTTTAATAAAAAATTAAAAAATTATTACATGTATTATTTATATTATATTATGATTTTTATATGTACGTCGACTAATTAATATATAGACATGTTTTTATCATATTTGTATAAAATTATTAGTTTTTTTTTTTTTTTTTTTTTTTTTTTTTACGTACAAAGCTAATATGTATACAAGTAAGATTAAATAAATTAAAATTAAAGAAAAGTATAATACAAGAGTACAAAAAGTTAATTATAATTTTGTATATAATGAAAAAATAAATAAGAGCAAAAAATATTGAATTATTACAAAAATTAAACTATAATAAAACCAACCACAAAGAATAAAATTGTAATATTCCTTCCTTGATGTTATATGTTTAGGAGCTTAAGGTAGCAGAGTGGTATAATATTTATACCACATTGATAAAATAGGGCGTTGCGTAACACACATATATTATAGCCAACATAATAAGTACGAATTAATTAGATATAATAAATTAACATATTTTATTTATTATTTCAAAACTATTTGTTTCCAATAATAGAACTTTAACTACATAACATATGTCTATTCTAAAGAAATTTAAAAAACAGAAAGGATACACACGAGTTTGCGGGTCCTATACGGATATATATACACATATATATATATACATATATCCAGGACATTTTATCTCCTCTCATTTTCAAATATCGTCAGCCAACCACACACATATACAAATGTCTATATCTGTATTATACTTTTAGACATTCTTCAATCTTTTCTACTGTAATTTCTCTCTCTCTCTCTCTCTCTCTCTCTATATATATATATATATACATATATATATTGGGTTGAGCCAAATTTGTTTTTGACATTTAACTCTAGAAAGATATTATCCAGGACCAGTTTTAGATATCCACAGGAATTTTTAAATATTTTGTTTATGTTTTTGTATATATCGTAGGGGAGTTACTGTAGAAGCGGTCCATGTATATATATATATATATATATATATAAGCATGATAGATGATGGTAAGATATATTGTAGAGGATCTTGTGCACGTGATAGGGTCGATCTGCCTTGTGTTCCCTTATTGAAGAACTGTAGAAAAGTTGTCCTAAATCCCTCCTCCGACCAGCTCCCAACCCCACCCCCACCTTCAAAAAATAGACCATTCGATCACGCCACCCACCAAACTGGACGCACTACATTTCCACCTCCCAAATTTCCATATACATATATATATATATATATACATCTTCCTTACATTTACAAATATATACAATACGTACACGCATATATATTTACGTATGTAATGTTAATGCAGATGATTTCGTTTATAAATCTCACATGCAAATGCTAAAAGGTGTGACCCAGATATGCTGCAGACAGCTAGGTTTTTAGTAGTACTACCAAAGATAACATGTAATTACAGTATGAACTTAAGATAAAATTTCTTTAAAATTTAAAATTTTGTAATTTTAAACAATAGTTTGTGTGAAAAAGGAGAGTGGCCAATCTAATTATAAGTAAGAATATTCTCCTACGTTATACCCACTTTTACACATGTATGTGTATATATATACATACATTTGCAGTGTGGAATATGTTTGCATGTGTTATTACAGATGGGGTTAAATTCAATGATACAAAAGGTTTCACCAAACAAATGAATAAAATAGGAGTCTGAGCGGAAAAAAGCTGTCTCACTTTTCCCTCCTACCTTTTAAAAAGGATTGTATATATTCCATCTATGATATACATATATATATATATATATATATATATCATAATATACGTGGTTGTCTTTTCGAAATTACATGTCTTCGAAATGCATGAAGGCAAAGAAAAAAAGATGAGGGCATAAGAAGAATCTTGAATAAGGAGAATCATATAAGTTAAATCAGAGTTTGAATAATAATTAATGAGTGAGAATTTTGAGGAGGATTCCTAAGCTTTGAGATACAAGAACTAAAAGACATGGGTCCCCTATAAAATAAAATTATAAAATTTTTTGCATAAATTTTTTTAAAAAAAAATTAATTTTTTTTTGGGAATTCTCAAGTCTGGAAATATTGAAATTCTCTGAGCCAATTCTTGCTCTTTTGGGTTCTACTTTATTAATTGACAAAGTATAGAACAAATTGTGTAAGAATGAAATTAAGGAATTAATCCTAACATGTGCTTAAGATGCCTATTTATAGTAGTTCTATTTTATTTGTATATAAAAATATGTTATAAGTACTGTTTGGCTAGCTCGGATTATAGTGAGTTTAATTACCTCAAATCAGAATTCGAAACTTAATTTTTCAATCAAGTAATTCAAAGTTAATGCTAGGTTTGGATCAAACCTATAATTTTTGTGAATTAATTCATTTGGAAAAATTCATACTTAATATAAATAGAAAATACATAATAAAAATTTTAAATAATATCACGTACGAAATTTAAGATAGTTATTTCAAAATTTCATTAGAATGCTAAGTTTTGGATTTTAGAAAGTTTCTTCTTTATTGATAAATACAAATATATCAATTGTACTAAAATTAATTTTACTAATTTTTTTTTAAAAAAAAATGAATAACTTACCAAGTATAAATGAAAAATTATGAGAAAAATTTTTGCATATTAACTTGTTAACTTGTGTATAAATATAATTAACAAGCAGCGTGATGATTTTCTGTAAGAGATTGTACGTTCGAGATATTTTGCATAACTTCGATTTGTTCTTATTTAATTTTATTATGATTAATATTTTATGTATCGCCTATTGATAAATGTATAAATTTTTAATATTAAATTATATACTTTTAATTTTTAGGTTTTCGAAATTCATAGAATGCGACACAACAGTCAAAATCTTTTATTAGATTCACCGCTTAACGGGCTTGCTTCTCAATGGCCCAATATTGGGAAGAAGAGGGGCTTAACTGAGCTGAGCGAGTCACCTCAAATGAAAATTGGTCTGAATTTCTGATCATGAGCGAGAGAGAGGCAGATCAAAAATAGTTTCACTCTCTGCAACTAATGGACTAAAAGCTTTAATTTATTTGCCACATCTTGCAATCAAGTATATATGTCACTATAATTTTAAGCCATAGCCCATTATAGAAGCCCATCCGGCCCAAAAAAACCCGATCAAGAGGTCCGAGTATTTTTAAATATCAAATTTTCATATATTATTAATTATATAAATATGACAATTATACAAAATAAAACGCTGTATTCTTTTCCTACTAAAATTCCAAAAAAAAAAAAATGTATAGCCAAAATAACTCATAGTATGTGTATATATATATATACATATTTTAAATGCAGCATAGAATATAAGAATACACATATATATATATAAGTAAATATATATTCACACACGCACACACTATAATTTTAATATCCGCTGATACTAAAACTTTTTTGAAAAAAAAAAAAACATATAGCCACTTAAAGATATATACCGATATATATATATTTATTTTATAATGTCTTAAGAAT